TCCGCGCAATGCCATGCAATATGAAGCAATACCGCATAGTGCAAGCAAAATGTCAAGCACTGCCTATCAATTCCAAACAGTGGCATGCAAATCAACGCCAAACAATGGCATGTATGAAGCGAGACAATTTCCGCTGATTGGGGTCGCGCCAGATTCATTCTCAATACGGGGTCCCTGGAAGTCCCGACCGTATACCTAAGGTCCAGCCTTTCCGTCTCAACTCTTTTGTTGGCAACCCCCAGCCCAATAACGGCCCCTGGAGGCACATTGTGGCGAAAAACCGCTGTCCTAAGATGTGTTGAGAACCATCCATCTGACGATGATATGATGCAGTCCGCGACACGGTCCGCGCCCTATGATGACCTGGGCCCCCCCGTCACCAACATCCGTACGCACCACAAGGGTTAGGTGGGCAGATTGGAGGCCTCCGAGCGTATTGGCACGGGCGCGGGTTGTCTGCTCATCAACGATGGTGGGGCGACAAGGCGGGCCGCCACCCCTGGCACTGCACGCGCGGTGACAGGTCTGCCAGCAAAGACTGCAAAAACTTGCGCCGAGCGCACGCGCCCCGCGAGTGAAGACGAGCCGCCGCCACTCGGGAGCGGCCAAGAGGGGGGTGTCCAAGAGGGGGGGTGTGCAAATCGTGGCCGGCGGCACGTGCGCGGCCCAGCGGGGGGGCCAGGGACGTAATGGAATAAGAAGAGGCGCCACGAAATCTGGGGACACGTCATGGCCCACGCCATGAAATCCCCCCCCCTTGTCATCAACCCCCCTCTTTGCCGCCCCCGAAACGCACGCGCCGCGCGAGTGAAACCACGAGCCGCCGCCACGCAGGATCCGACGCGTCCTGCCCGCGCCGCCCGTGCGGCGCCAGCGCGGCGCGTGGCCCAGCGCGCGGCCCCATCCCCGCAGCGCGCGCTCCGCGCGGCAGGCGCTGGTGCGGCAGAGCCTCCCGAGCCCCCTGTGGTGGAGGAGGAGGAAGGCGAGGAGGAGTGCCAAGAGGAGGAGGGAGGAGGAGGAGGAGGAGGAGGCGGAGGAGGAGGCGGAGGAGGAGGAGGAGGAGGAGGAGGAGGCGGAGGAGGAGGAGGAGGAGGAGGAGGAGGAGGAGCTTCCTGAGCCCTGGGCGCCCCCCCCTGCGGACCTTCGGCCGCCGGGGCGACCCTCCCGCGGCGCCGAGCCCCGCCGCGGCGGCCCTGCTGCAGCGCGGCGGCGCGGCCCCCTTGCAGTGGCCGGCTCGGGCGGGGGGTAATCTTTGAGGTGCGGTCGTGGAGGGTAGTCTTAGGTCGGCCGCGAATTATTGCACGGGCATCTCTTTTGCATGTGTAACAGGCTGCACAGTTGCATCCAGGGGCATGTATTACATCTGGCACGCAAGCCATTGCTTCCAGGCGCCAACTATTGCAAGCGCTAGATCACCCTTGCGTTGGCCGGTCGTTGAGGATAATCATAGGTCGGGCATGTCCGACTACAAGCGGATTTTGGAACAACCGAGCAAATAGTCGGAGATATTCGAAAACAGCCAAGAGGGCACGAAACATCGTCACCAGACGAATGATCTACTGTGCTGGATCTTCCTCCTGTGGAGGGACACGCCCGACTTGAGGGCAATCGACGGCGAGCAAGCCCAGAGGGGGAGTGTGACAAGGGGTGGGCATGCGCAGACGGCTCGGACAGCCTCGACCCTTCTGAGCAGTTATCCAAGCCGCCCCCGAATTCGATGCTCAAAAGACCCCTCACGAGGCCGGACGGCTTCTGAGACGCTCCGCTTTGGGGGGCGGAAAGATACGGATACGTGTTGTCCCCGGACCTCTCTTGGGGTGCGTTCTGACCAGAATTTCGAGGCGAATCCAGCGGTGACAACGAGGATTCCCCAGGAGGACCAGGAAAGGCCGAAAACAAAGGGGGACAACACGTATCCGTATCTTTTTGTCCCCCGACCGCTGCTTTCTGCGAGGGCCTCCTCCCTCCCGCTGCCCCCCTCCGCTCGCCGCCGAGCCGAGGGACCTCGAAGCCTCGAGGCTCTCTCTCGGGTGCTCCGGCGAGCTCGAGGGTCGGAGCCTCGAGGCTCGAGGCCCTCGTCGGACCCCATCCCCCCCCTCCTCCTCCTCCTCCTCCTCCTCCTCCTCCTCCTCCTCCTCCTCCTCCTCCTCCTCCTCCTCCTCCCCCTCCTCCTCCCCCTCCTCCTCTTACCTCGGGGCGCCTTCCGGCGGCCACGCCTCGCCCGGAGCGTGCCTGGGGGTGCCCGGGTCGCCCCGGCCGTCCGACGGCGGCCCGCGCTGGGACCCGCAAGCCACCACCCGGGAGTCGCCCGGGGGCCAGAGCATGGAGCTGGAGCCGGCGACGCGTCGCCGATTGATCGGCGATCGCAGTCAACCCGCAGAGCAGGGATGCGCGGTCAGGGTGCAAGGCCCTCGGAAGCCCATCTCGAAGCGGCTCGAGCGGGGCGCGGGCAACGAGAGTGTCCGAGGATGGACCCAGGAAGCAAGGATGCAAGGGTACCCTTGGGAGGGGTGCCTACCCTTACTCTGCGGGTCGGCTGTAGCCCCCCCGACAGGATGCTGATGGTCTTTAGATCCTCGCGAGTCTACTTGCATGGAGGGGGGGGGAGGCGGCGGGGGTGCGGCTCGAAAGGAACTCGGACTTATCACTTGCATAACACTTCGGCCCAGCGTTGTCTGAGAAGGCGGCGGTAGGGGGGGGAAGAGGGGCGGGGGGGGGGGAAATGCTATGCGTAGGGGGGTAGGAGGTGCAGGTGAAGAGTGGGGGCGGGAGAGGCGGGGAAGACTAGGCTGGGCTGGAGCCAAACGCCCTCTGGCGAAGCCGCACGCTCCTGAGCGGGACGGGCCATGCCATGCAACACGCATCGGCGATGGCCGATAGGAGGTCGACGCGCCGCGATCGCCACGGTGGCCACGGGTCCGAGAAGACTGGCGACGGCGCCAGCGGCTCGAAAGCTGCGGGCGTGCTCCCAGATCTCCGGCGATACTTTCGCATGTGTTGTCCAAATGTATGCATGTTTGATATATTTCGACGGCTCGGGGGGAGAGGGCCCCCCCTGGCAAAATGGCAAATTAGAAAAAATGCAGATCATGGTTGTTTTCGCCGCACATCGTCGCAAAAGCCTCCCCCTCCCCTTCTTCCTGCTCCTCCTTTTCCTCCTCCTCCTGCTCTTCCTCCTCCTGCTCTTCCTCCTCTTCCTCCTCAGCCTACGCGTCCTGATGCGCCTCGTGACTTTCGTCCTCCTCCTTCTCATTATCTTAATCCTTCTTCTCCTTATCAAACTCTTCCTCCTCCTCTTCCTGCTCCTCTTCTTCCTCCTCCTCCTCCTCTAATTCCTCCTGCACTACACCGGCTCGGACTCCTCTGCCCGCCGTCCTTTGCCTCATATCACTTTCCCATACTCACATCACGTACCCTCTTTCTTCCATAAGGACGATGGGAGCAGGCTGGGAAGGTGTAGGACGAGTCATCTAGTGAAGAGGAGGACGACGAAGAAGAGATGTGATATGATCAGACAGAGGATGGTTCGCTGTCCCAAGGGCCCACACAAATCCATACAGGGCGACCATATGCGTCGGGACCTCTGGGGCCGCACATCTCGAAAAACTCGACCGTCGGTTTTCCGGGTTCGTTGGTCCCTGGAAGCTTCCATTCTCCTGATGATGACCAGCAGCTGCGCCTCGTCGAGTCTTCCGGGGATGCCCAAAAATCGTCCAGAACGGACGTTGGAAACATATATGAATATACATATATATACATATATATATACATATATATTTATTTATATATATATATATGTTCACATATATATATATATATATATATATATATATGTGTTACACACACCTAATCATGTAAGTAAACAGGGAAGCACGCATAGACAGGTATCATTGCGTAATAATCCACACGTGTGTATACAGCGTGTGTATATATATATATATGTAATTGCACAATGTCTCCGCTGGCTGTCCTGGGCGTCTCGGGTGCGGGGGGAGGAAAGGTGGAGACAAATCGCGTGTCTATGGTTAGTTCTCCCAGCGCCTCCCTCTATCGAGAAGAGCGCCCAGCGGCGGGGCCGCGACTAACCCCACAGGGTCTTTTGAACCCCCCCCCAATAGTGCGCAAATATACGGTTGCCCCGCGGGCTCATTGACGGACTGGGACCCCGGCAATATTGGGCAAACTGATTTTCCGCGTGGAACTCGGGCCCCGCGGGGAGGGAGGGAACCCGCGAGGGCCGTGAGAAACTTCATCCTCGATTTATCCATCCCAAGGAAAATGTGCGACTGCCTAAGGAGAACGCAAGGGCAACCTAGGAAAACCGAAAGACAACCGGAGGAACACCGAAGGAAAACCTAAGGAACACTTAAGGAAAACCTAAGGACAACCTAAAGAAAACCTAAGGAAAACCTAAGGAACACCTTAAGGAAAACCTAAGGAAAACCAAAGGAACACCTAAGGAAAACCTAAGGGCCTCCGCGCCGCCAGCGTCGACCTCAACGATCTCGCCGCCACCGTCGGCCTCCGCGCCGTCGTCGTCGTCGTCGCCGCCGTCGTCGTTGTCGTCGTCCGTCGTCGTCGTCGCCTCCGGGGGGCCGTTCGGCCCGTCCTCAAAGAGCTCGTCCAAGACCGCGCCCTCAGCGCCATCCTAGTCCTCGCGGGGGCTCACGCCTGACGGCATGTCTGCCGTCTGGGGGGGGGGCTCAAAAGAGCCTCGAGGCCTCAGGTTGTGTTGGAGCGCCCTGAAAGGAAGTTCGTTGCTGACGCCTCAAAGAGCTTGAGACTCACGTGGCTGCGGGGGGGGGCAATAGTGAGCGGGGGGGCAATAGCGAGGAGGAGGAGGAGCAGCGAGGGAAGATGTACAAAGCCCAAGCGGCTAATAGTGCGAAACTAATTCCTGGGCGGCCCTCGTACCTCAGGCAGGAGCGTCCTCAGTCCTCGTAGCTTGCGGTCCTCAGTCCTCGTAGCTTGCGGTCCTCAGTCCTCGTAGCTTGCGGTCCTCAGTCCTCGTAGCTTGCGGTCCTCAGTCCTCGTAGCTTGCGGTCCTCAGTCCTCGTAGCTTGCGAGAGGTCCTCAGTCCTCGTAGCTTGCGGGAGGTCCTCAGTGGGGGGAGGGAGAGGGAGCGAGGGGGGAGGACGGGGGGAGGGAGGGGGGAGGACGGGGGGCGCGGGGTTTTATTCCCCGGAGAGAGAACCAGGGGGGGGGGGGGGGCCTTTTCCAAAGACCCTACCGGGTTAGTTGCACCGCTGCAGCCGATGACACCACAGCTGGCCGAAGACCATCGCGGGCCGAAGACGACCGCCGGTCGACGAGCACCGCCAGCGAAGCAGAGTGCTGCCGCGGGTGTGGGGCGGGCCCGCACCCTCGACGTCTTGATTTGTTCACAACGTCGACCCTCAGAAGTCTGGACCCCTTCCCTGGAACATACGTTTCATTCTGAGCTGTTTTTTTGAGGTCCTGGGGCCCGGTGAGAGCCCCCAGAGGCCGAAAATAGTGAAAACCCGCCCGTCGTGATTGTTTCACGACGCGAGGGGGTCTGGGGGGCCTCGTCCCCGCGGCGCGCCCCATGCCATCCAGCCATGATTCTGCCGATGCTCTTTCGAAGGTGCGCGGGAGGAGTGTACTCGACCGTTTCTGCCCGGCCTCCTTCAAGGGGCCCAAGGACACACGAATAAATACCAACAAATAGCTAGATCCCCAAAAGTTTCCAAATATTTTCCGGGTTCTTGTCTCCCCCCCATCTCCCATATTTTCCCATACAATCTGGGGAATCGACAATTCATTGTGTCTGTGTGTGTTTGTTCCCTCCTGACTCCTGACTCCTGATGCTCACCCTGCCCAGGCCCCCGCCGTCGTGCTCTCTGTCGCAGCGTGGATCCCCGGAGGGCTGGGCACCGCATGGATTTGGGCGCCCGAGAGGGGCACAGCAGGATGAAGTCGGGCGTGTCCCCCCCACAGGGGGGCTTTCGACGAAGAATAAGGAATACGCAACAAATACCCCAAAAAGGTCAAAAACTATTCAAAACATAGTCCACTGACTCTTTTTGATTTTTCCCCCTGTAGAGGGACAGGCCCGACTTAAGCAGTAGGACTGAGGCATAAGATCGAGGTCGGCTCGGGGAGGGTTCCCTAGTTTTTGTTGGTTATCAAGGACTCTCGAGTCTCTTCTCAGTGCAGTGCCCAGTCTTGGCATGAACGCGCACTCTGCAGCAAGTAGAAAATCGCGCATGCTGGAATGCGCCATGCTGAGACAACCATGGTGGAATGCGCCACTTGTGTTCTTCGTGTTTGCTGGATGTTCTTGTAAATCCTGGGGGGGGCACCCTTGGATTATCTGTCGGCTGGGGCAGACGGAGGATCTCATGTTCTTGAAGGATGTTCTCCTGGCCCAGGTCCGACAGCATGGAAAACATGGACGTGATGCCCAACAACAAATGTCGTCCCGAGCCGACAACGGCTGCTGTTGGGCAGGCGACCGTGTGCCACAAGCGGACGACGCCCGCGGCGGCAACGGCAACGAGTCCCGCTCCAAATGCACACGGAGCTGCTGCCGGTCTTCGTCGCTGTTTCCCCCCTGCGCCGCCAGAACATGACCATCTCCACTGCCGCGTTGGGTCGTGTCCCAAGGTCACGGAGAACGGTGGACATGGACAGCTGCCCGCCCACGCGGGCGGGCAAAGGTCCACATCCACCACTCCTCGAGCTCTCGAGGGCACGACTCCGAAGCGGTGCATGTGGACATCATGCGGAGCCGATGCCGCTGCTCCCCGGACCTCTCCCGAGGCGCGTTCTGACGGTGGCGACGAGGGCCTCCCAGGAGGCCGAACAAGGAAAGCCGGGGCGAGGGTAGCGGTATGGGTGCAATGCATGCAGCAAGACCCAATGCACATAAGCCCGCACATGCCCGGGCACGTGCGCACAGTAAGACATTCATCCAAGAGCGCCCGCACATGCCGGGCACATGCCGGGCACACGCTGTGCACATGCACGCGCATGCCCGCGCGGAAACGGCCGCACATCGCACACACACAAACACACACACACACACACACAGACACAGACACAGACACAGACACAGACACAGACACAGACACAGACACAGACACAGACACAGACACACACAAAGGGGTATAGAAAAGTGAGTGCGGTGTACCCTTCCCTCCTCGGGACCATCTGGCGGTGGACGCCCCCCTCCCCGCAGGCCTGGCAGTCGGCGGCGGGGCTGCCCTCGAAGCCCGCTTCGGGCTCCGCCGCCGGCCCGGGCGGGAAGTGGCCGGGCCGCTCCTGGCACCCGAGGGGGAGGCAGGGGGGCGAGGCGGAGAGGCAGGGCGGAGGCAGCACCAGGCAGACCCCCCCCGCCGCCCTATCATGCGAAGCGGACCCTGCCACGACCGCGTCGGAACAAAAAAACAAAATCCGGACGCGAGGTTTTCGGCCCTTTTCGGCCTCGGGGGGCCCTCGCCGGGCCTCGGGAGCGTCAATACACGACTCAGGGTGAAAAACCGGTCCCAGGGAAAGGGTCGGGACTTCCAGGGACCCCGCGTAGAACAAATCAGGACGTCGCATGTCTGGGGAGGTCGGTTGGGTGTGGGCGATCGTCCTTCGGGGGCGAACGAGGGGGGGAAGTGAGCAGGGGCGGGCGCTTATACTCAGACCCCCTCGGGCAATGAAAAAATCATGGCGGGAGGTTGTGGCTAATTTCCGGCCTCTGGAGGCCCTTACTGGCCGTCAGGACCGTCCAAAAAACGACTCAGGATGGAAAACCGGTCCAGCGGAAGGGTTCCAGATCTCTGGGGGTCGAGGCTATGAAAAAATCATGACGTCGGGGGTCTGGGTAGTGGGCCCTGGAAACGCCAGGGCCGTTCTTCTCAACGGTTCCGTTTGCCGCTGTTGCTTCCAGTTCCGTCGCCGTCCTTGTTGCCAGTTCCGTCGTCGCCAAGTTTTGGCCAGTTCCAGTTCCGGTTCCGATCCCGGAGCCTCTTTTTTGCCGTTTCGGGTCGCCGTTTGTTTACGGGTGCCACTTTAAAGAGACACTTTGTCGAAAACGGGGAAAAGCGGCCCTGCCGTTTCTGGGGCCCACGAAGGACGGACCTTCTCAGAAAGCTCGGAGTGTCCCAGGCCGGCCCCGAAGACACAGAGAGAACTTCTCGGAGAACGCGAGGGCTTCTGAGAAGTCCCGCCGCCTTCTGAGAGGGCCTTCTCCTTCTCACTTCCCCACCCTCGCCGCCGCGTCCTTGCATACCTGCATGGTTCACTAAATGCCTGTAGTAGCATTCGGTTCGGGTCTCCCATCGCGCCCCAGGCCCGCGCATAGCGAAGGCGGTCTGCGCGCCCATTTGGGTAGTGGTTCTCAAGTAGCGACGCTTCTCGCAGTGGAGGCATTGCTTGCAGACACTGTTTACTATGAGGATGGGAAATGTGACAGGGGGGCCTATTGCAGTAGCATCGCTGATGCAGCATGGGTTTACTCCCTTCGTCTCTTCGTCCTTGTCGTCCCCTTCCCCTTTGCTCCATCGGAAGCCTTGGCAGCCCTCTACAAAGGGAAGGGGGCCTACCTCTAAACTTCCTCCTGCACGTCCCCCCCGCCTATCCTCTCTCAGTGCCCTCCCCCCCGCGCGCGCCTCCTCCTGCTCCCTTCTCCTCATCCCTGCCTCCCTCCCTCTTTCCCTGCCTCCCTCCCTCCCTCCATCCGTCCCTCCTCCCTCCCACTTCCCCCCCCCCCCTCCTTTGCGGCCCTCTCAGCCCAAGGTCCCCTGGAAGACCTCAGCCCCTCCACGCAGCGAAGACTGCCTACACGAAAATAGCACCTCCGCCCGAGACGCCGCCCCCTCACCCGCCGTGTGGCCGGGGGGGGCTGCGAGAGGGCGAGGGAGCACGATAGGGGCGCACCGGCCCAGGGGCGATATACACCGCCGACCGATGGCGGCTCGCATAAGGCGTCTTGAGCCTCTGGGGCCTCCCTTGTTTTTTCCATGTCCTTCTCGTCGGCTTTCGTGTGCCCGAGGTGCGGATGAGCCCCGTGCCAGAGGGGGTCTCGACCGTCTGGCCCAAGTGGGCTCGGCGCCCTGGCAGAAGGTGCTCGGCCCTTCCTTCGCGGAGAGCCGAACCGAACCATCCCCCCTCGTCCCTCTGGCGGCGCGCAGAGAGGGGTAAGGAGAGTGGGGAAGCCTTCTTAGACGGAGGCTGCGGCCCGACATCTGCAGATGGGGCCCGCGCCCTCTGATGAGCAGGGGATGGCTGCGAAGAGGCCTTCCACCTCCCTCTGCGCGTGGCTGAGGTCGAGCGGCAAGAGGCTCTCGACGGCGGAACCGCTCTTCGACGCCTGGTGGTTTTCGGGTCATGACTCGGGCCTCTGGCGGCCGTTCGGGACAATTCGGGCACCCCGCAGAACGTTCTCGGCAAGGCGCAGCCGCTGGAAGGCATCCCGAGGATGGACAGCTGCCGAGAACCGATGCAAACGTGTGAAAACTTAGGAAAAAAACAACAACCCGCCCGAAGCCGAACATGTCTGAACTCCGATTCCCCCCCCCACAGCCCACAGCATGCACCCACGGGACGAAGTCTTCCTACGAGAAATCTGGGGCACATCCTTCGTCAATCCCGAGCCTCACGAGGTGCCCCAAGGCGCTGCGGGTCCACCGGGAGATCCGCCACCGGCCCCCTGGCACGTTGCGGCGTGCTGACAGGGCCAAAAGTGCTTCCAACTCTGGGGCACCTGAGGAGGGGATCCTCATTCAGAATCCCCTCTTGTTAAGCCCTCGGGCCCAAGATGCGCCGCGTCCAAGGCCAGAGGCAACGAGTGACACGTCCAGGGCCGCAGGCAACCAGTGACATATTAGGGAAGCAGGTAATCAGCGATACGTCGGGAGACACAGGCAACCAGCGACACGTCGCGCAGGAGGTCAGGTCATCGCTTCTGGATGGGATGGTGGAGATACGAGACGCGTCAAGAGTTTGTACTGGCGACGAAATGCGTCACATGTCACGGTCTTCCTCTTCCTCTTCGCCATCCTCCTACACCTCCTCCTCCGCCTTCCCCTCCTCCTCCTCACCTACCATCATCATCAGCATCAGCATCATCATCAGCATCATCAGCACCATCGACAGCATCGTCGTCGTCGTCATTGTCATCGCCATCGTCATAGTAATAATCACCATCATCATCACACTCATCATCATCAACACCATCATCATCACCATGACCATCATCGACAACATGAACATCATTAGTGTCGTGTGCTCCGGTGTGATCCGGAGTGCTCCTCGATGTCCTCGCCGAGCAAAAAAAACACACGTCCGATCGATGCCAAGGCAGGTGGAGAGTGGGTGAGAGTGAGGGGGAGATGCAAGGAAAGAAGTGGGGAGAGGGAGGGGGAGGGGGAGGAGGTGAAGGGGGAAAGGGAGGAGGTGGGGAAGAGGGGGGAGGAGGGGGAGGGGGAGGAGGGAGGAGGTGAAAGAGGATGATGAGATGATGATGATGATGATGATGATGATGATGATGATGATGATGATGAGGAGGAGGAGGGAGGAGGAGGAGGAGGAGGAGGAGGAGGAGGAGGAGGAGGAGGAGGGGGGAGGAGGAGGAGGAAGAGGATGAGGAGGAGAGGAGGAGGGGGGGAGGAGGACGACGAGGAGCAGGAGGAGTGGGATGAAGAGGGGGGGGGGGGTGATGAGGGGAAGCAGGAGGACGAGCAAGAGAAGAGGAGGAGGAGGAGGGGGGAGGAGGAGGAGGAAGAGGGAGGAGGAGAGGGGGAACAGGAGAGGAGGCGGAGAGGAGGAGGAGGAGGAGGAGGAGGAGGGAGCAGAGGCAGTGAGGAGGAGGAGCAGCAGGAGGGGGAGGAGGAGGAAGGGGCAAGGGATGCGGACGACGAGGACGAGGAGGCAGAAAAGGCGATGGGCGAGGCGCCGCATCTCCGCAGAGGGAGGCGGGCGCCCGTCCTCCCCGACGAGCACTGGCGGCGCCGGCTCGCCAGTGGCGGCCGCTGCCTCGCCCGCGAGCGCCTGCGAGGCGCGCCGGGGTGCCAAGAGCAGATAGGCGACGATCAACCTTACGCCGAGGAGGAGGAGGAGGAGGAGGAGGAGGATGAGGAGGAGGAGGAGGGGCAGGAGGAGGAGGAGGAGGAGGAGGATCACGAGGAGAAGGAGGATGAGGAGGAGGAGGAGGAGGAGGAGGAGGAGGAGGAGGAGGAGGAGGAGGAGTGGAGGAGGAGGAGGAGGAGGAGGAGGAGGAGGAGGAGGAGGAGGAGGAGAGGAGGAGGAGGAGGAGGAGGAGGAGGAGGAGGAGGAGGAGGAGGAGGAGGAGGAGGAGGGGGAGAGGAGGAGGAGGAGGAGGAGGAGGAGGTGGGAGGAGGAGGGGGGGAGAAGGTGGAGGAGGAGGAGGAGGAGGAGGAGGAGGAGGAGGAGGAGGAGGAGGGGCGAGGAGGAGGAGGAGGGGCAGGAGGAGGAGGAGGAGGAGGAGGAGGAAAAGGAGGAGGAGGAGGAAAAGGAGGAGGAGGAGGAGGAGGGACAGGAGGAGGAGGAGGACGAGGAGGAGGAGAAGGAGGAGGGGGAGGAGGAGGTGGAGGAGGAGGAGGGGGAGGAGGAGGAGGAAGAGGAGGAGGATGAGGAGGAGGAGAAGGAGGACGAGGAGGAGGAAAGGAGGAGGAGGAGGAGGAGGAGGAGGAGGACGCATCGGGCCAAGATGGAGTCTTACGCGAGATGGCGAGGAGACCTTACGCCGCGGCGTACGCGGGCCGCCCGCGCGGCAGGCCACAGTGGAGACGAGGGCGCTTACGCGGGAGTTTACGCGGGCAGTTTGCGCGCCAATGTCGGCGCAGACGACCCTGTATTTTCGCGTCGCTCACCGGGGGCGGGCCAGGGAGCACAGCCCAATGGAGACCCTCGCAATTTGGTGCGGAGGCAACGCCTGGAAGGTTTTCGTGGGAACTACTGGGGGCGATGAAGCCCGAGTAAGGTGCCACAACACCAGATTAGGCCAGAGTGAACCCAAGGGTGCGCTGGATTAGTCCGTATTGGGCGGGATTAAGCCGAGCTGGGCCGGATCAGCCCAGATTGAACAAATTATCGGCGGCGAAGATACCAACGCCGATACATAATTAAACTCCCAGGAGTTGCGTCCTACAGTTGGGGAAGAGAAATAGGAAAACAGCGTGGGCTGAAACGCGACGAGCCCTCTGTGCCCACAGCAACGGCCCCGCACTCGGGATGCGGGCAGAGGGGGAAGAGGAGGAGGAAAAGGGGGAGGGGGCGGAGGAGGAAGAGGAGGAGAAGGAGGACGACGACAGAGGACTCTTTGCCCAGGGCCTCATGGAAATGGTGAAGATTCGAACGGTGGCCACACAAACGTGGGTCAAGGACATGAGCCCCTCGCCGACGCCCCAGGCCCCCATGAGGCTATCCTCAACAGGGCACTCCGAGGTTGAGGGCCCAGGCACGAGGAGCCTCAGGATTCCCTTCCACGGCCGAGGCTGTTCTGAACCCTCGTGCCAGCTGTGCACCCGCCATCTCTCCTCTGAGATCTGGGCGGTTCCAGGGCCCACGGGTTTGAAACAAACAACATGGTTCCGGGCCAAAAATAAAACATGCTTGAGCGGCCCAAAATTCGCCGCTGAAGCCACTTCACTAGACGCCATTCGGATCATGGAAGGAAACAGACACTGAAACGCTGCGGCTCCGTGGCCGCCGCATCCGCGGGGAGTGCTATTCCCGCCAAGCCCCAACAGAAGAGGGGGGGCTCCTTCAACAACAATAACGACAACAACAACAATAACAATAACAATAACAACAACAACAACCACAACAACAACGACGACGACGACAATAGTTCATATGAGCCCCCGAATCACACAATGCGTAATTGCAATGTGGTGTGACCTCGGCGCACGGAAGCATCATAATACTACCATGTTCGTATCGCCGCGGCTAGCAGGCGGTAGTGCCGCACTGGTCACAGCGCGCGACGCGATAGAGCTACTGCGTGCTCTGGCGCGCCTGCCCGGCACTGACGCAACTAGCAAAAATCATGCGGGCCCCTCACGGCCTTCCCATGCACTGAAACTTCCGACCACTGGAAATCTGCACCCGCGCGTCGTTACGACAGAATGTCTCGATGCTAGCAAAACTCGGGGCTGCGACCCACGATCGCGTCGTTACGACAGAGACTGCATATTCTGGTCCACGGGCGAGAGCGGCGGCGCGAGGCGGGCGAGCTCGGCATCACTAACATACTGGGGCGGACCCCCTCGGTGGGGGCACCGCTCCTCAGAGATTCTGTTGAAAAGGCCCCCTTCGGGGTGGGGCAACAACTACCTACAAGCCATCTGGGGTCGCACATGGCCGCCTTTCCACAGGCGGCCCAAAACTGCAGACGGTGGGTGGGGTGGAGGTTCTGGCCCCCAATCACCTGGGCACCCAGCGAAGGACAGACGCCGTCTCCGACAGGCCTGGCCTGGCAACTACTGAGGGCAACAGAGCTGATCAAGGCTCTCGTCTCGAATCGGGAGCAGCACAGACACACGAATGTGGACCCGACCTTCCGCCACTCATAGGCGGATGCCCTGAGCGCTCGGGCCAGCACGGGGACGGGAGGCACTTCAGGGCGGTCGGGACGAGACGCGGTCCACGGATCAGCTTTGACAGGCTCCTCAGAGCTCTCCGCGCTCTTCGTCAGACTAGCGCCGCCTCGGCGTCCCTTCGGTCGGTCCCAGGGACGAAGCCTACAGCGAATTCACTCCAGTTCAGACGGGGAGCACGTCCTGCTAATACGTCGGCGCACTCGCTGCCGTTGGCACGGAAGACTTGGCGCTCGCTGGCGGAGTCGAAGTCCTGGACCGAAGCGTGCGAGGGCGCCCACTCAACAATTATCTCCGCGCCCCTCCCCTCGGCAGCCCGGAAGATTGTGGCCCAAAAGTCTCGATTACGAACGTGAGCAGCAAGCCTACCTTGGGACCAGATCGTAAGGACGGGGAGGTGACCAGCGATCTATATTACTTTGCCGACTGTTTTGCCGATGGCCTCGGCGAGCGCTGCGAGCTCGGCTCGGGGGACGGTCTGGGCTTTCCTGAGACTGCGGTGTGAAACCCCGCGCACGGCACCCAAGCGCACGGGGCCCCGTCGTCAACAATGATCGCCGCTCCGACCCTGCGGCGCCGAAGGTCATCGGAGAACTCGCCCCCCGACCCGTCCCCGAAGACACATATGAATCCTTCGGCATCGGTGGGTGCGGAGGCGAAACAGCCGAAATAATTGGTGAGGGATACCTTTTCCTCATCGAAGACGGGGTTAGTGTCGGCGCAGCTCGGGGCTCCTCTGAGCCACAGGGCTGGGCTCGCCTCGTGATTGATGCGCGCCTGCTCCATCAGGTGGGAGCTGGCGTCGTAGTCGTTGCGGCCATTGTTCTTGAAGCAGCTCCAGGTTCTGTGAAACAGCGTCTCATCGGCAAGGCCACATCTAACACAGGTTGGTGCTACGACGTGTCCTGCAGCACGGAGCCGATGGCGCGGCCACTGCCCTCCAGAAGTGATGGCGGTGGTGAGGCCGACCTGGTCGTACTGGTCGGCCCTGCTGAACCTCTCGATATCGCGGGAGATGTGGATGAGGCCGGCGCCCTGGCACAAGTCCTTGCCAGCGTCGTGCTGTGCGGCCTTGCCCCGCAGCTTCTTGTCTATGGAGTTGCTGACGTCGCTGAGGATGGCCGAGAAGTCGCTGGTCATCTCGGCAAACTTGTCGTCGCTGGCGGAAGGACTGAGCCACGACTGCCCGCCGTCAGTGTCCCACTGCGTAGCCACCACAGGGTCCCAGCCCAGGTCCATCAGCGTGGCGACGGTGGCGCTGACAGGGGCCCTTGACGATCCTCCTCTTACGCTTGCCAGCGCGCCTGAGCCTGGGTACGATGATGTCCCACGCCTTCATGATGCGCGGGTGAAGCTGAGGGTTCTGCTGCCACAACGTGAGCCAGACCGCCAACTGCTGCCTGCGGACCGCCTCCGGGAGGTCGCCCTCGCCAAACGCAGTGGCGAGGAAAGGGGCGAGGCAGCGGCCAGGTCCTCGTCCACCAACAGGACGCCCAGCCTGGCGACGCAGATTGGTGATCTCGTGCTCTGTCTGGGATGCCCACCAGCTGGTGCCCGTAGATCGCCCGCGGCAAGCTGCCAGTACGCCACAGCCCCTGCGACGCTCGGCGGAGCTTCGCGACCCGTCGGCCCTTGGCGATGGCCTTGGTCCGCTTGGCAGCTTTCTTCATCCTGTCTCGAGCCTTGGCGCGGGTGCGACCACGCCTAGCGGCAACGTCACAGCCCAGGTCGATGGCGTACGGCGCCACTCGAGCGGGGATGCCTTGCTTCGTGAGGCCGTGGACAATGATCTTCGATATGGCTGTGGAAGAAGAAACAACAACAATCTTGTCAGAGACACTTCGGCCGCTTCTCTCACGGCGGGCCGGTTACGACAGAATTCGCTGATTCTGCTGCAGCGGAGGAGGAGGAGGAGGAGGAGGAGGGGGGCGCAACTACCACGCACGCTTTCTTCTTCTTCGCCGCCCTCGTTGTTCTTTCAATCGATCTGAGATCCTCTGGGCGTCGCAGGGCAAGGCCGACTTTGGGAGGGCGACGTTGCGGCGCTCGCCTAGGATCGTCATCGTCGCCTTCATCGCCGCCTCCTCGAGGGTCAGGGCGCCACCGCCTGCGGGCCGCCACACTGCGACCGCGAACTTGAGCTTCGCGATCTTCGGGTTGTGCGTCTTGCTCAGCCGGCAGTTCACCGGAGCCACTCGCAAGTGGCCTGGACCCGCCGCGAGAGATTCAGGATCCATTGCGTCGAGGCAACTCTCATTATTTTCGGACGTTTGCGAGTAGGCCCTGTGCGAGTAGTGGAACGCGCTCGGTAAGAGACTACAGCCATCGTGCCGTCACTAAGAAAAATGCATGAGAAACGACATGAAATGGCTGCGCTGGCCTCGGGGAGCCCGAGTAAACGGCTGGGCCCCCCGACCCACATCTAAGGAGCGGCCAGAAAACCAGGGCCCTCCTGGGCCTAAAAATAGTCCTTGACCGTACGGCCGGCCCGTATCATAAGGATGCGCGGTAAGGGTGCAACAGGCCTCGGACGCCCATTTCGGAGCTTGTCGAGCGGGGCGCGGCCAACGAAAGTGGCGCAGGATGGGCCTAAGGGGCAAGGATGCAAGGGCACCCGGGGGAAGTTGCCCATCCTTGCCATGCGCGTTGACTGTACTTCGGGCCTGGTGCTGGCTGGGTCATGTCGGCGGCGAGCTGGAGGGGGGAAGGGGCAGGGCCTTCTCAGAAGGCGGCGGGACTTCTCAGAAGCCCTCGCGCCTCCTGGGGAGGCTTGGAAAACTTCTCAGAGGGCCAAGGGGACTTTCTCGCTTCCTCCCTGGGCTCGCCGCCGATCACAGCTCGGGCCTCTGGCGCTCGCCCGGGACGGTCCGGGCGCCCCGGGAACGCCCTCGGCGGGGCGCAGCCGCTGGGAGGCATCCCGAGGCTGGAGGACCGCCGAGAACCGCCGAACACGCCCCCTTCGGAGCTTCTCCCACGAATGTCCCCCTGATGGGAACCTCCCTTCACGACTCCACAGCGGCCGCTGCTGCCCCAGAGCTCCGGAGCCGCGGCTCTTGCTCGCCACGTGGACCCCGGAGAGCTGGACCCCGCCCCCAGGAGCTGACTCTTCCCGAGGTGGTTCTTGACGGTCCCTGGCCCCCCAACAAAGGGCTCCCGGAGGCCGACGATTGGCAGACACTTCCCGTCGCGAGTGTTCCACAACGAGAGGAAACATGGTTTTCGAACCGTACCTTTGAAGGGGCCCTGGGACACACGAAAAAATACACACAAATCAATTTTTTCCCCGTATTTTCCTATATTTTCTTGGTTTTTGTCTTCGCCCCCAGTTCCCATGTTTTCCCATATTTTCCTGGGAATCGGCGATTAATTGTGTCTGTGTGTTTTTTTCCCCTCCTGAACCTTGGGTCTCCTCCAGCGGCCGTTCGGGACGATCCAGGCACCACAGGAACGCCCTCGGCGAGGCGCCGTCGCGGGAACGCATCCCAGACGCATCCGAGGCTGCAAAGGCCTCGACCGCCGACCCCGCGATTTCTGCTCACGACCTGACGGCGAGCCCTGGGGGGGGGAGTGAGAGGGAGCCGGCCTTCCCACAGGGCTCGGAGGTCCCTAGACCTTCTCAGAAGTGTCCTACGCCTCCCCCTGGTCGTTGGCCCCTTTTCTTTTCAAACAAGAAAGCCTTTCAGAAAGCTAGAGAGCTTGTGAGAAGCCCCGCCGCCTTTTGAGAGGGCCTCCTCCTTCTCATTGCCCCCTCCCCCTCCTCCTCCTCCTCCTCCTCCTCCTCCTCCTCCTCCTCCTCCTCCTCCTCCTCCTCCTCCTCGCCCCCCTCGCTCGCCGCCGAGTCAGCGAGCGGGGAGGGGTTAACCTCGAAGGCCCCGCGGGCGGCCGCCGCCGCCGCGGATCCCCCCCGGGAGCCTCCGAGGCCGCCTGCGGCGGGCAGGGCCGGTGGGCGCGCGGGAAGCGGTAGCGCAGGGGCCGGGAGTTCTGCAGCGCCCAGCGGGAGGACCTCGGCGGGCCGCGCGGGGGGGGGAGGGCCGAGACGCACAGGAGGGACGTACGAGAAGGAGGAGGAGGAGGAGGAGGAGGAGAGAGGAGGAGAGGAGGAGGAGGAGGAGGGAGGAGGAGGAGGAGAGGAGGAGGAGGAGGAGGAGGAGGAGGAGGAGGAGGAGGAGGAGGAGAAGGAGGAGGAGGAGGAGGAGGAGGAGGAGAGGGAGGAGGAGGAGGAGGAGGAGGAGGAGAGGTAGGAGGAGGAGGAGGAGGAGAGGAGGAGGAGGAGGAGGAGGGAGGAGGAGGAGGAGGAGGAGGAGGGAGGAGGAGGAGGAGGAGGAGGAGGAGGAGGAGAGAGAGGAGGAGGAGGAGGAGGGAGGAGGAGGGGAGGAGGAGGAGAAGGAGGAAGGAGGGAGGAGGAGGAGGAGAGAGGAGGAGGAGGAGGAGGAGGAGGAGGAGGAGGAGGACACAGGAGGAGGAGGAGGAGGAGGAGGAGGAGGAGGAGGAGGAGGAGGAGGAGGAGGAGGAGGAGGAGGAGGAGGAGGGAGGAGGAGGAGGAGGAGGAGGAGGAGAGGAGAGGGAGGATGGAGGAGGAGGAGGAGGAGGAGGAGGAGGAGGAGGAGGAGGAGGAGAAGGACGAGGAGGAGGAGATGAGGAGGAGGAGGAGGAGGAGGAGGAGGAGGAGGAGGAGGAGGAGGAGGAGGAGTGGCCGGGAGCTCTGCAGCGCCCAGCGGGAGAACCTCGGCGGGCAGCGCGGGTGGGGGTCAGGAGCGAACGAAGGACGCAGACGTACATGGGCGATTTCGGAAACCCTGAAATTCAAAACACTGTCGTCTCCTGGGGGCGCATCTTTTACTTCCGCCGCCTCCCGCCGCCCAGCTTCCGCCGGCGGAGGCGGCCTCGTCTTACTCCCGCAGACCTTCTGCCGCCCTCCCGCCGCGGAATAGATGACAACTCCTTTGATCCTCGAAGGCACGGCCCTTTCTCGAACGCCTCGCACGAAGCCGCGCTGGTTTCGAGGGCACGCGTGGCGCGAACGCTCGCATCGCGCGGCCAATCTCGCGGGTTCGGGGGGCCGTGCCCGTGTGCGTGGTTGGGCGCGTACGTTCCCTGCTGGCTCCACGAGGGCGCCGGGCTCGCCATCGCTCGGGCCTCCGGTCCCCGCCGTGCACGTGTGGGCTTCGTGCGCGGGCACTTGTCCGCTCGATGGCCCAAAAGGCTCCTCGACGGTCCTCGCCGAGAGGAAGCATGCACACGTCCGAGCGGTTTCAATGGGAGGGGGGGGGGCCTCGAGGCGCGATGTGCTTCGCGCCCCCGCCGGTGACATGGGCCCAGCTTGGCCCCCTCGCGCTCGCCTGTTCGTCGTCGTCGTCGTCGTCGCCGTCGTCGTCGTCGTGGTCGTCGTCGTCGTCGTTCTCGTTCTCGAGGTTGTCGGTGTCGATTTCGTCGTCATCGTCGCCGTTCAGGCTCGAGGATCTCATCTTCTTGCTGATTTCGAGCGCTTTTGAGCCTCTTCGACCCTATGAAGGTGCTTCCGAAGATCGCCCGGGCACTCCTCTGGGGTTCGCTGTCTGTTCGAGGCTTGTAGGAAGATGCGCTCGTTTGGCAAACAGAAGCCTCAAGCACTTCCCCCTCGTCCTGAGGGCTCTGAACGGGCCCTCGAGGCTGGGATCGAGGAAAACTAACGCCAAAATTGAAAACACAAACGTATCCTCGCAGAGAGGAAGAACACCCGGCACGACCATGAACTCTCAAAGCTCCGCGCGGATTGTTCGGATCTGCGCTGGGCCCCCCTCCCTGGCGCGCGGAGCGAACAAGGGTCGGAGCCGTAGCTTCGCCCGGGGAGCCCAGCGCAGATCCAAGAAATCCGCGCGGAACTCCGCACAATTTCTGTGATGAGCTTCTGCTCAACACGTTTTCGGTGGCCCCTGGAACACGCAATGCCTTGCAAACTGAAAGCGCATGGCTCCGCTCCGAAGAGCGGGAGGATAATCTCCGTGAAGACATGGGGAGTGGGATGTGCTTGACATGTCGCGCCGAAGCGTAGTGGGCCAGAACCGGTGGCGCGACACGCTGAACAAAAGTTCCCAACGGTTGTCGGGCCATCACTCGGGACTGCGTCGGCCACTCAAGACGACCCAAGCACCTGGGAACGCTCTCGGCTCGGCGCGGCTGGCAGAGAGCTCCCCAAGGCTGGACAACCACAACAAGCCGACGGAAACGACCGAACAACTCGAGCCTCGCACCCGCGTTGCGAAACGCTGAACAAGCGTTCCCGACCCCATGCCAAAGCTGGTTTTCCCCGCGCATGCTTTCGCAGCAAAGATCCTTGCCTGGTCACGAGGATTGCGTGTTCCGAGACCCTTGCTGGCCTTGCTGACGCTGCTGCTACTGCCGCTCACATCTGGGTTCCACGTTGGGGCCATTCCTTCTGCCTCTCCGCGGGGAGCGGGTGGCCCCCCGAGCCGCCGGCCACTTGCGGCAGGTCCCTGGGCTCCGCGGCGGGGCGCTGCCGTGCCTGCCGCGCCGGGGGGGCAGGGGGGCGGTATGGGGACCCCGCGGACTGAGCAGCTCGTGAAGCCACGGGGGGTGCACTCCCTCCAGTCTCTTGCTCCTCCTGCGGATCCTCAGCCTGCGTCTCGTGTTCCTCCTCCTCCTCCTCATCGTCATGTTCCTACTTCTGCTCTCCCCCTCCTTCTCCTCCTCCCCCTTCTGCTGCTCCTCCTCCTCCTCCTCCTCCTCCTCCTGCTCCACCTGTTCCTGCTGCTAGTGCCGCTCCGGTTCCTCGTCCTCATTTATGCACGATGCGTGGAGATAGCTATCCAGCGCCAGCGCCTGGGGGGATGCATCTTCAGGCTCATCGCCACCAAATGCGGATACGTGGCCCGAACATCTCCATCTGGCTCCGCCCCCTGGCACGTTGAAGCGCGGAATAATGCCAAGGTCTGCCTGTATTCTAATTAATTTAAAAACTAACATTGCCACGAACCCCGACCTTGGAGGACAGATGGGCGTGACTTGCGAGGAATAAACGAAAAACAAAGAAAATGATGCCTATAGGGCGCATAGAGCTGATTACCGTGTTGTCCGTTTGACGCGGTGCCGCTTGAAAACGCATTATGTTGATTTCCGTGTTATCCGTTAGATGTTTTGCCACTTTGAAGGGTCGTCTCCGACCATCTTGGAGTCTTGTAGGGCAGTCTTCGGGCCCTGGGGCGTCTCGGACCATCTCGGAGCCTTCTTAAGCAGTTTGGGGGCCCACTTGGGAGCCTCTGGGGGCTTCTTGGGAACCTCTTGGAAGGTTCTAGGGGCTTCTTGGGGCCCTCTTGGGACCTCCTGGGGAGTTCTTTGGGCGGAAGGCCCAAGATGTCGGTCCCTGCCCCCCCCCCTCCCTCCCCCCTCTGGGGCCCCTCTTGAAGCGTTCCTTGGGCCTTCTGAGGCCGCCTTGGAGGCCTCTTGGGCCGTCTTGGGGGCGTCTTGGGCCGTCTTGGCGCCCTCCTGGGAGCCGCTTGAGCCGTTTTAGGGCGATATGTGGGGCCTCTTGGGCCGTCTTGGAGCGTCGGGAGGCCGACAAGGCGAACACGTGAAAGAAAAACATGCAAAAACCCTATGGTTGTAAGTGGGGGAGCGTATGAGGAGGCTTTGTACCAAAACAATACGAAGCGTGAACCCCCTACTATTGCAAGAAGCTTCGGGAGTCTTGCATATGAAATAAGACCATGTGCATCAGATCGCGGCGCCGATTATTGTAGTATTACTTTGGTGTTGTATTCATATCAGTACTGGTTATGTGTAGGTCTATGATTCTATATTACATTGCAATGGGCGTTCTTGCGATGCCCAAGCACTTGGAACTACAAGACCTACCAAACCAATACAATAATAATAACACGCAACCCTGCGACACTTGCAAACCATACCATGTCCTGCCAATCCGGCAGTCGATGTATACGAGGCAAAACCTAATACTACACCCGATCTGAACATCTCATATAAACAGTACAGTACACAAAACGCTACTGGCTCATCCTACACTATCTCGCAAATAACTCCATCGGCATTGATTTTATGCAATCAATGCAATACCGTATGTCTGAGGAGTGGCAGTCTGCACTGCGAGTGCCTCTTGCTCTGTGCAGCCTGCGCGTGGCCTCTGGATCAGGGGCATCGACATGTAATTGAAAAGTTGCAGGTGAGCGCGGAAGCCGCTCTCTCTCCCTGCCCTCTGGGCCCCAGAAGATTATCCGAGTTGCCAAACGCCCAAAGGCTTCCCACGTGCTTGCCATGGGGTGCAATGTGCGTAAGACTGCGGTTCCACGCATGAGGGCCCAAAACCGAAGACTCCGGCGGCCGCGCGGAACTTTTCGCCGCCATTAGGTGGCGGCCAGACGGCAATGGGCGACGGACCTTGGAGCTTGGACCACGGGTCAACAAGGACTTTGCGCGCGTAGCTCGCAGCGCTTGCAGCGGCAAGGTTGGGCCCTGGCTGGGGCTCGCCGCCCGAGTCGGGCCCTTCGCACGGCCCGCGGCTTGCGGAGCTCGCCCCTCGAGCGAGCTCGTCGGGTGAAGGGGGGGGGTGGCCGGCCGCGTCGGGCAGGCTCGCTGCGAGATCGGGGGTCCGCGCGCGGCAGCTGATCGACTGCTGATGCGTCTCAGCGGAGGGGCGGACATGGGGCGGCGCAGCAGGGCTCCGGGGGGCGCAACCAAAAGCGGCGCTGCCCATCAGACCACCCGGGCAGGCACCTCCTCCTCCTCCTCCTCCTCCTCCTCCTCCTTCTCCTCCTCCTCCTCCTCCATCTGACCCATCGAGCCCGCGCCGCGGCGACGACGGCGACGACGGCTCCTGAGCGAGCTGGCGGAGGCGCGTCCGACAAGCGGGTTCCCCGCGCGCCTTGCATCTTCACGCGGGGCAGTTGCGGAATGCGAGGCGAGGTGGTCTCGTGGCTGCTGCGATCCGCCCGACGGGAGAAGTGCCGCGCTGGCGCCGCGCCCCTTAGCATCGACCGCCAAGAAAGCGCAAAGCGCCAAAAGAGGGAGCCCCTTCTGGGCGATCGACGCGCGCGGGAAGGAGAAATAGGCGGGCCCTTCAGGCGATCGACGCGCGCGGGAAGGAAACATTGGCTGGCCTCCGGGGGGGGTATTTGTTGGTACCAATGCAAAACACAAAACATACTCAAGACAATCAGGAAGTAAAGGCAAATCTATGCCCCTGCCTTTGTCTCACTTAATTTGTTTGCAATGTAATACGAAATACCATGTGACATTTCCATCAACAAATACAACTGGCCCGGGCGAGCTCGGCGTTGAGGCGCGCCGAAATGCTGCCCCTTAGGCTCGGGGGCTCCGTGCCATCCCTGGGCCATCCCTGCCCGCGCTTGCTGCCGCGCTCGCGTCGCTCTTAGAATTTAGCGGAGGTGGGCGCGCGCGCGCGGGCGCGTGCGCGTCCGTCGCCGACCGCGCAGCATCTGGCCGTGGCCGTCGTCGCACGAGTCTCACTGACGTCTGCTCATCGGCTCGCCCGTTGCGCCCGATTCACGGCAGGGCCGCGGCCGCGGGCGCGCGCAGACGAGAACCGCGCGAATCGCGAGCCCGCCACTCGGCCCGAGCAGAGATTTGCGCCTGAAGGGCCCTGATCCTCGGCAAGGCGGAGGCCAGCCAAACATTCATAACAAAAAAACATGGCCAAAATTGCTTCGAAAGGACTCCAAAGAAAAACATGATAAGCCAAAACTCTCAAAAACAATATAAATAACACAACTATTATTTGGGATGTCCAACGCTTTGCATGTCCATGTTCGGGGACATCGGCGACAACAGCCGAAAATTAATTGCTGCGAAGTAAAATGTCAGCCCTCTGCGGCAGATCGCCAGCATAATTCTCATTACTAGCGTTGCTTCGCAGTCACCCCCCCCACCACCGCGACGCCGCGCGCGCGCGCGCCTGTCGCGTGTCATCGTCGCCGTTTTCTGAGAGGCGGCAGCTCATGATTTCATGCGCGCACGAGTGCGTGGCGGCGTCGCGGCGTCAGCCGCGATGGGCCCCGGGAGGCCCCCAAAACACCCCTGGGACCTCGGTGGGCGCACCCCTCGCGCGGATCGCGGGCTCAGGCGGACGGGGCCGAAGGCCTCCGTAGGCTACGGAAGCCAGAGGCCCCCGAGGACCGCTGAGGTCTCGGCGCGCCCCTCGCGCGGGTCAGGCGGGCGGAGCCGAAGGCCCTCGAAGGCACCTGCGAGCCACCGAGTGCCGCATGAGTTTCGGCGCGCCCCTGGCCGCGGGGAGCAGGCGGATGGGGCCGAAGGCTTCCGAATGCAACAAGACCCAATTGCTCGGGGCCCTGGGAGCCACCGAGAACCGAAGAGGCTTCGGTTCTTGGAAGACGACTAAAAAATAGCAAAGCATATTCAAACAGAGTCAAATCGTACGAACAATCATCCCCTGACTATTTTCAGTCTACTCTTAGAGATGTCTCCTGTAGAGGGGCAGAGGTGTCTCACATAGAGGGGCATACCCGACTTATGGCTAGCAGTGTTCTGGTCCAGGGTCTGGGGGACTGGGCCCCGACACTCCGCACGCATGGGCACGCAGAACGGACGCCCCGCGTAGGAGGAGGAGGAGGAGGAGGAGGAGGAGGAGGAGGAGGAGGAGGAGGAGGAGGAGGGAGGAGGAGGAGGAGGAGGAGGAGGAGGAGGCGGCGCGGGGCGCCTCCTCCTCCTTCAAACATCAAACTGGCGGCGATGGTCCCACGATAACGAAATCGCGCGCTCCTGGGCGGGGTGTGCCACCAGGCCCCGCTCGGCGATACATGGTTGATTGTGGGTTCATGCGCTTACCCCTGAGCCCATCCCCCCATGTCGTTGCCCCTGGTCCTTTTCCTCCTCCTCCTCCTCCTCCTGCTCCTCCTCCTCCTCCTCCTCCTCCCCTCCTCCTCCTCCTCCTCCTCCTCCTCCTCCTCCTTCTCCTTATCCTTCTCCTCCTGACTGGCATTCGGGCTGCCCTGAGGGGGAGAACGGCGAGAGGGCAGCAGAAGGGACAGCAAGGGAGCACAGTAGGAGCTCGACCACACAAAGCCTTCCACAAGAAGCCCAACCCCGAGACCCCAACACGTCCACTGACGTTTGGTGTGGGAGCGTCACGCGCTGCATCACAAATCCATCGAAACCGAAGAGACGCAGGGCACCCTGGAGGCACGCAGGGTGTTTCTTCGTATGGGTGTCCACTGTAGGAGAGGAGGGCGGACGACCAATGCGGAAGAGGACGGCAGGGGCATGGGGGCGAGGGAGGCGGACTTGCTCCTTCCCACCTCGGGCTCCTCGTGCGCCCCGCCCGAAAACGCGTGGGCAGCGGGGCGCCACAGTGGCCGAGGCGGCTCATTGACTTGCGTGGCCCCAGCCCATCGCTCGGCGTGAGCAAGCTAGGCAGCCACATATGAATCCTACCCCCACCCCCCAGGATTTCTAAGGGGGGGTGGGGGTTTACTCCGCTCGGCAGCTCCCGATCGAAGTGACGCCCCACTGTCCCCTTCAAAATCGTGTGGGGGGGGCGGTAGGGCTCGCATGTGGCCACCGAAAAAGCGGGTCGTGAGGGAGACGTGTCCTGCACCCCGCATACCCAACTGTTCGTCCTAAGCCGTTCCCTGATTTGGAGTCCCGAAACAGGTGCGGTGACAGACCGTGCGGTGACCTCGAAATCCCCCAGGTCCGTCACCGCACGGTCCGTCACCGCACGGTCTTGGGACCCCGGAGGCCCCTGTCGCCCGAGACGTCCTCGGAGCACGGCCCGAGTCCCAGAACCACCGCACGGTGTGGTCACCGCCCCGTTCCGGGAGCGGCCAAGAGGAGAGGGGGGTGTCCAAGAGGCGGGGGTGCAAATCACGACCGGCGGCATGTGCGCGGCCCAGCGGGGGGGGGCCAGGGACGCAATGACATAAGAAGAGGCGCCCTGAAATCTGGGGAAATATCGTGCCCCCGCCACATGACCCCTCCCCCCTTGTCATCACCCCCCCTCTTTGCCGCCCCCGACCCTTTGGGGACCCCCGAGGCCTGGCGGTCCCCGGTGGCCGGGGAGCGCCCAAGGCCCGGATCTCCGGCCCCGCCTCCCCCGCGCGCGCCCCCGGACCAGTTCTCCTCGGCTCGGGGCTTTGGCCGCCTGCCGCTCTGCCACGGCCCCGGGGGGCCGGCGAGGGGGCCTCGCTGGCCATCGCTCAGACGGCCATATTCCCTGTGCTCTTTTTGGTTTCGTGCGTGGCCCTTTCGCCAAATGATCAAGGCTGCTCATCGAGTGTCCTCGCCGCAGGAAGAATGCACACGTCCGAGCGATGCCAAGCCCAAGGGCTGCACATGAGATGGGGCACCTCCCGCCGTGACCTTTCCCGGCGGGGAAGGTGGAGGTGGGTGGGGGTGTGAGTGGGTGAGTGAGTCTGGTGGTGGGGGTGGGTGAGCCAGGTGGTGGGGGTGGGGGGTGGTGGTGGTGGGTGAGCCAGTGTGTGTGTGTGTGTGTGTGTGTGTGTGTGTGTGTGTGTGTGTGTGTGTGTGTGTGTGTGTGTGTGTGTGTGTGTGTGTGTGTGTGTGTGTGTGTGTGTGTGTGTGTGTGTGTGTGTGTGTGTGTGTGTGTGTGTGTGTGTGGGGGGGGGGGGGCAGGTGGGGCTGGGGGCCCGAGATCCGACGTCCCGCAAACATTGCAACGTCGCGACGCATCGCGACAGGAGCCCTGGACCCCGTCGTCCTGTTCCATTCTCCAGCTGGATCGATATGTGAGGGGGGCCCCGGGGCTCCAGACTATGCTACGAAGCGCAGGCTCGAACATCAACGTGACCCCAGGATCGTAGGGGGGAGGAGGAGGAGGAGGAGGAGGAGGAGGAGGAGGAGGAGGAGGAGGAGGAGGAGGAGGAGGAGGAGAAGGAGAAGGAGGAGGAGGAGGAGGAAGAGGAGGAGCAGGAGGATGAGGAGCAGGAGGAGGAGGAAGAGGAGGAGGAGGAGTAAGAGGAGGAGGGGGAGACGACGAACTAACCCTGAGGACCTGCTTCCCATATGACCCACGCGGCGAGCCACATTCTCGGCGGCGCGCCGACAGGGAAAGCGAGAAGAGCTAGCAACACACGCCGGCGGGGGTTCTCGGGAGCCCCCCAGCGTTCCGAGAAGCCCCCCGGCGGCCTCGGAGGAGGCTCGGAAAGCTTCACTGAGATCTCGGCGTCGCATGTTTGTTGCTCGAGTCGGGCGTTTTCGAATAGTGTCGGGCCCTGGACAGGTCGATCGAGCGCGAAACATGGCGCAGAAAGATTGGGTCTGGGGGCTCTGGACGCGATCCCTTGCGATGCTGTAATTGTTTCGCAGCGTCGGATCTCAGGCTTCTCTTACGTCTGAAGGGAAAATCCCGCCCACTCTGCCGGTGGCTTTCGGGACGTACCCCGAGCCTCCCGAGGCCGTTGGGGACGACTCGGGCCCCCAGCGGAAGGCCCTCGGCGAGGCACGGCTGCTCGAGAGCGTCCCCCGGGCAGAGAGACGCCCGGGCGTCCCCCGGCTGCTCGAGAGCGTCCCTGCTGCGCGAGCAGCCCCCCCGCTCCCCGGACACGGCCGCTCCGGCGAGGTCCCCCCCTCGATCCTCGTACCCTCCTCGACGTCTCCTGGATGCCCCCCCGCGATTCTGGACTTCCAAGGGCGACCCGAACAGGAACCACAGCTTCCCCCCAGAAGCCTAAAAAAAAATACCAGAGCCCCGACGTCGTGATTTCTGCAAGGCGTGACACCCACGAGCCTGGACGCCTTCCCGGGGAACGGCTTCTCATCCTGAGCCGTTTTCTGAAAGGGCCCCTGGAGGCCGAAAATCGCGAAAAACCTCCCACCGTGATTCTCGAGTTCTTCCCAGCGCGAGGAGGTCTGGTCTCTGGTTGAGCAAGGAACGACCGTCCCGGCATTCCTATAGTCCTACCACGAAATGTTCTTCGAACCCCAACATGTTCTTATAACAAAAACAATGTTCTTAGAACGTTAGCCCGATGTGTTAAACCAAGACAGTCCCAACTAGAAATGTTCTGAGAACGTGTCGTGCATACCACAAAAGAATATTAGAACATTGTTTGGTGGGGCTATCTGCGAGCCGGGACGCCCCGCCACTGCTTGATCTGGGCGGCCCTGCTGACCCGGGTCAATCCAGACCCGGGTCAGTAGGAAACTGCAACAAAATTGCAACGCAGGTCTTCGCAAACCCGGGTCGGCCCCGCCTCGCGGCCACGAGCGGCTCGCGAACCCGGGTCAGCCAGAGGGGGTCTTCGCAGGATCCTGCAGGATCCGGCGCCCTGGCTGACCCCCGTCTGCACTGACCCCTGTCTCGAGGCTCCCGATCTGGTCTCTGGGCGGCCCTGCCGGCGCGCCCGCGCCCCACCGGCTGGCGGCGGCGGCGGCGGCGCGCAGCGCCGAGCGACAGCCGGCGCGGGGCCGGCGCGGGCCGTGGCCTCTGGGCGGGAGCGCCGCCGTCGCTGCGGGAGCTCGAGACCTAGCGGCGGGGGGATGGGGCGGGCGAGGGGGGGGAGGAGCGATCGAGCGGGGGGGAGGGGCGATCGAAGGGGGGGGAGGGGCGATCGAGTGGGAGGGGTGGGGGATGGAGGATGGCAGCATCTTCGCATCGTTGCTCATGTCGTTCCTTCGTTTCTGCCATCTCTCCGAGCTGAGAAGGCGGGGGGCGGCGTCGAGGAGGAGGGGGGGGGATCGAGTCGAGGGGGGGGGCGATCGTTGAGGGCTGCGGGGGGGAGAAGGAGGGCGACGCGGAGAGGGGGCGGGGAGGGACGAGGGAAAAGGGGGGTAGGAAGGGGGGGGGACAGGAGAGGACGAGGGGCGGGAAGGGGGAGGGACGAGGGGCGAGAGGGGTGGTAAAAGCTGAGGGGCGAGGGGGGGAGGGGCGAAGGGGGGGTTGAAGGGCAAGAGCGAGGGGGGGGCGGGGGAACGGCGGAGAGATCGGAGCACCGATCGCCACGGCTTCCTCGGCGCGCGGGGCGGCGCGACCGTCATGTCGGCTAGGTTGCAGTCTGGAGACCAGGGGCCCCAGGGAGATGCGTTCAGCTGCCCGTCCTGTTCGGGCGGGGGGGGAAGGGGGGAGGAGGAGGAGCGAGGCGGGAGAAAGAGAGGAGATGGGAAGGGGAAGGAGGGAACATGCGATGGTGATGGTGATGATGTCGAGGAGGGAGGGCGAGGCGGACAAGGCGGAAGAGGAGAGCAGGAGGAGGATGATGAGGAGGAATACTGTTTTGTTGGACTCAACCATTCACCCTCTGAGTCGGACCCCGAGCGCTACGGACCCCAACACCGCGAACAACGCGAGCACTAGACCTCCGAGACGGCGAGCAGCAACGAGGGGGGGTACAGCTCGCACCACACGGGCGCCCGCGGGCTTCCACCACCGCCTGCTGCGAGCGCCTCAGCCGTGAGGAGGACACTCCCAAAGCAAGCCCGCCGCCACGCGCAGCAAGTTCCCGCTACATGAACTCGACCATGGTGTGCAGCTCGGCGTCACTGAGTGGCGCGTGGTCCGTGATGCGGTGGCCCAAGAGACTCGGAGAGGTCGGCGGCGCGCTGCGCGAACTGAACACGCGCATCGCTCTTGTCCTTGCCCGCGCCGCCCGTGACCTCGCCCTCTTGCCCTTGTCTTTGCCTGAACCAAAACCGCCCGCGCGGCGAGGACGCCCATGCACGATAGGTAATGCATCCGCCCACTCGTCGGACGGCAACTCCATGGAAACACCGACGGCCCCCCGCGCCGCCGCCGCCCCTGCAGCCGCACCGCCATCCATCCCCGCGACGATGACCACCTCCTCCTCCGATGGCCACCTCCTCCTGGGACTTCTCCTACACGACGTCCACCTTCTCGTACTGCTCGTCCGCCTCCTTCAGACCTCCGCGGCCGCGCGGGCGTCGGCGCCGCGGCCTTCGGGGGGCCCGCGTGGTCGACGGCGGGGGAAGCGGGCGGCGTGCCGAGCTCGGCGACCGCCGTGCGGAGGAGCCCCTCCGCCGCCCGCAGGAGCCGCGCCGAGGAGCGCAGCCCTCCCGCGGTGGCGAGCCCGGCAGCGGCGTGGACCGCCAGGACGGCCCCCCTGGAGGCCTCCAGCGCGTGTGCCGTGCGGGCGTCGGCATCTGGACGTGCGGCGGCGGGGCCTGCGAGCGCGCGACCGTGAGCCAATATGGGTACTAGAGGGGGGAGGAGGAAAAAGAGGAGGAGAAGGAGGAGGACGAGGAGGAGGATGAGGATGAGGATGAGGATGAGGATGAGAATGATGATGAGGATGAGGATGAGGATGGAGGAGGAGGAGGAGGAGGAGGAGGAGGAGGAGCAGGAGGAGGAATGAGGAGGAGGAATGAGGAGGAGGAGGAGGGTGCGAGGGGGCGAAGGGGGGGAAAGGAGAGACGAGATGGAGGTAGGGAGGAGAAAGGGGGGAAACGGGGTGGCAAGGCTTCGGGCTGCGCACAGGCACCCCCCCAGGTATTCCCAGCTGGCATCAGCAGGTCCCCCCGAGTAGTCCCAGCTGGCCTCAGCAGCCCTCCCGAGTAGTCCGGGGCGGTCCCAACACCTCACCACTGGGGCGCGGAACGCCCCGGGGGGGGGGCGCCAGATGCGGCGCCAGGGTGCTGCGACCGCCCCGGACTTCTCGGGGGCCTGATGTGGACAGCTGGGGCTACTCGGAGGCTTGCTGATGCCAGCTGGGACTGCCTGGGCCTGTCTGCGCGCTCCCCGACGGGGGGAGCAAAAAGGAGAGAACATATGGAGGTATCCTGAGGCCTGGAACCCCTCGTGGACACAGGGATGCGGAGGAGGAGGAGGAAAGAAGGGAGGAGGAAAAGGAGGAGGAGGAGGAGGAGGAGGAGGGAGTGAGGAAAGAAGGGAGGAGGAAAAGGAGGAGGAGGGAGGGAGGAGGAGGGAGGAGGGAGGGAGGGAGGGAGGGAGGGAGGGCGGGAGGGAGGGAGGAGGAGGAGGAGGAGAACATAAGAAGTCTCCCGAGTGTACACCTTCGAGACATACCCATCGTGTTCTTCCGCGGCATTCCGTCGCCCTTTCCGCCGGCTGCCACTGGCGGACCCGCCGCCGTGTTGCTTCTGCCGGCCCCCGCCGAGGAAAGGGCGGCCGCTCCGTTCGGCCTCGGAGGCGAGGCCACGTCTGGAGCGCCTGGCACTGTGCCAAGTGTGATGGTGACGGAGGGCTGCGGTGGAGAAGGTGGACGAGGAAACGAGCAGGAGAAGGAGGAAGAGGAGGAGGAGGAGGAGGAGGAGGATGAGGAGGAGGGAGGAGGATGAGGAAGGAGGAGGAGGAGGAGGAGGAGGAGGGAGGATAATGAGGAAGGAGGAGGAGGAAAGGAAGGTGTGGAAGGGGGGGGGACAAGGCCCTGCCCTCCTGCATTCCTGATGGACGTACACTGTTGATGTTTTTGTTCTAAGAAACAAAGGGGGACCACGGAGGGAAAACTGGGCACGGGGGGGGGTTAAAGGGGGAAGTGGGAAAAGGAGGAAGAGGAGGAGGAGGAGGAGGAGGAGGAGGAACAGGAGGAGGAACAGGAGGAGGAGCAGGAGGAAGAAGAGGGAGGAGGGGCAGGACGAGGAGGAGAAGGAGAGGAGGAGGAGGAGGAGGAGGAGGAGGAGGAGGAGGAGGAGGAGGAGGAGGAGTAGGAGGAGGAGGAGGGCACGAAACTCGGGAGGAGGAGGAGGAGGAAAATACGTTCAAGAGATGGATGTGGAATGGGATGAAAGCTGCAGGACGAGAAGGAGGGAGGACGGATGTGAGGGAGGATGGGGACGGACAAAAAAACGTCAAGGAAGGAGGGGGAGGATGAGTACGTAGCACCCCGCAAATGCGGGAAAGAGTGGGGTGCCGCGGGATCGTCGGTAGTTTGCGAGGCTCTGAAGACGCCCGCCAAAGGTTGATTATTCAACACATTGCACAACGAGCCTGGCGCAGGCGCCACATTTTCGTCAAAATAATGTGGGTGGGTCACGAGTGGGTCGCGAGGCGGGCCGCGAGCGAGAACGACAACAACAACAACAACAACAACAACAACAACAACAACAACAACAACAACAACAACAACAACAACAACACCACCACCACCACCACCACCAACAACAACAACAACAACAATAACAACAACAACAACAACGCCAACAACAACAACAACAACAATCATGTTAAGACCGCTTCTTCTTACAAACTCGCGTGCCACTCAACACGTATACCCCACATCCTCGATACCTGCCCTTCTACGTCCTCGGCGGTACCCTTTTGGGGTATGTCTTTCTTCATGGGCCACGTGAGATTGATACTAGGTGCAACCCAAAGAAGAAGGAGAAGGATAGAGCACGAGAGAGATTAGCAAAACGTGGGGGCTAGGAGCAGAAAGCACGGGGCAAAACCAGCCCGGCTGATCGGGCTGGTAGACCCTAGCTGGAGGGTTGGAAAGGCGGGCCCAGGCGTCCAGGTCGAGCATGCGGGTTGCGCAGTTTCAAAGGAGCTGTGCGTTCGGGAAACGAGGTTATCGCGGACACCCACCTTTCAATGTTCCTTTCTTTCTTCTTTGCCTCTACGCGCGCAGGCCCGAACGTGTTCAAATTCCACTCGGGCTCTGCGTTTTGCGCTGGTCCCTGAACTGACTTTCATTCCGTGTGGCTTCAAAGCTGGGAGCCAAATCGGCACGAGCGGAAGCACGCGGACAAATCATATACATATCAGCAGCTCCGTGGCAATATTGCCCATCGGGGTCGTGCTCTGCTCGCTGACCTTCCCCAGCTTGCTGCGGCCATTTCAAGTTTTCACGCAAAGCTAACTAACAACCAACGTTCCGCTTCGCGCTTGCGTTCCCGCGGTTTCCGCGGCCGCCTGCCATGGCCGAAGCACCTGCGCAATCAGCCGTCGCAGCGGCTCTCCAGCCGGGCGGCGCCATCACGACGGCGATCTGCCCTGAGATCACGAAGACCTTCCTGCGAGGTGACCGAGGCGATCTTGCCATCGCTGCCGGCGCAAGCGCGGCCGCCGCCACGCAGTCGGCACCGGCTGCGGTTGCCGCCTTGAAAGACGCGGCATCGGAGCTGGCCAAATTGGGGCATGCGGAGCAAGACCGGCGGGCGGGCGCTGCCTTCCCGCGCAGAGCTCGTTCGCGCCAGCTATCCGCGGCACGGCGGGAGGCAACGTGGCGCGATCTCGTCGTGGACGCACGCCACCTTGCGTCCGCCGTCAAGGCTGCCGAGCAGAATCCCGCCCTTGCAAACATGTGAGCGCAGTCTACCGCCGGCCCTGACGACGCCGAGCACGCCGAGCTCGAGCGGGCTTCCGCGGTGCGCTATGCGGCGAAGTTGCGGCGGAAGAGCTCGCTCTTCCGGCGGGAAGTCGGCTCTTGGGGCCGTCTAAAGAACTACCCGACGGAGACAGCATATTCGCTGCTGGACAATGCGAGGGCCCCTGCCCGGTCGCTCGCTGTCCTGATCAACCTGACGGAGCGCCGCTGCGCGGCAGCGCAGTCGGCGAGGCGCGCCAGCCCAGGGAAGACCGCTGTCCAGAAGACCACCCATCTGCTTCTGATGTACCGCACCATCAAGCGGTATAAGAAGCGCACTACCAAATCCAGCGCGTCAGCGACCCTTGAGCACGAGGTGCGCTTCTCCGCGACTTCGCTCGGGACCTCGTCTTGGGCGAAGCGGCGCCGGCCTCGAGCTCGCCTGCCAAGCGGCCCCTTGAGGCGGTACCATAGGGCAGCCGGGATTTCGGGGAGGACCCCAAGCTGGCTGCAATAGCGCAGCGGCAGAGTTCGTCTGCCGCTTCGGCGGCCGCCCCTGCGGGCGGCGGCGCGGCGGCGGGGCCGGTGGACGAGGAGAACTCTGTCTCCCACCTCCTCCAGGAGCTGGCCACTGTCGCACGCGGCAGCCCTCCGAAAACCCGATGTAGCCACGAACCCCGACCTTAGAGGACACGCGGGCGTGACTTGCGAGGAAGAGGAAAACAAAGAAAAGGATGCCTATAGGGTGCGAAGGTGCTGATTCCCGCGTTGTCCGTCAAGGTCTGTGCCGCTTTAAGGCGCATTGTGCTGGTTCTCGTG